AACCTTACTTGGGATTCTTAACAGCGTTGATATCATTAAGTTATTAAAGGCTACAGAAAGCTGCAGGGATGATTGATTTATTTCAGACCTGGAATTTTGATTTTGAAAACTGTAAACAGTATTTTTAACTTCATGTTAATCTTTTCACTATACAAACAAAAGTAAATCCTTTTGTAATAAATAAACTATTGCAACGTTATGTAAGAAATTCGATTATTTTACTTTTATTTATATCCTTTCGGATATCCCAGATACACAACTGAATATCTTTTATTTATTTATTTATTTGAACACATAAATATTGGTACAAGAGAGCGCCAATATATATGCGCCACACAAAATAATGAGAATTCGAAGAGAAATAGGAAAAAAAAGAGAACAATAACGAAGAGATTGGTGTAAGGTAGTGTGGTAGTAATGAGGGAACGCAAAGGTACAATCGGAAGAAATCTTTCAGGTAAGGGAGACACAACCACTTTTTATGGAGAAAGTAAAAGAAGATTACAGCAGGATCGCCACTGGCTTCTATTCTGAGCCATATCTGATAACGTCTCTAGCCACTGTGTTTCATTATCTCTCAGACCCCAACCAGGGAGTCGTGAAGGACCAACAGAAGCCAGTCCTTTGCAGCTTTCTTTCATGCCACGACACCATGTCATACACTGACCACCTCTCCGCTTCTTCCAACCAGTCCCAACGTCGGCAAGTAATGCATGACGTGGAATTCTCTGGGACGACATTCGGAGAACATGTCCAAGCCACCGAAGTCGATGTTTCAAGATAGTGACACCAATTGGATTAACGTCTCTGTGCCCGAACACACGATGCCGAACCTCTGCATTACTAAAATGATGTTGCCACTGGATGTCAGCAATCCTTCGGAGACAACGATGATCAAACACAGAGAGTTGTCTAACATCCTCAATTTGGAGAGGCCAGGTTTCACAAGCATAGAGCAAAACTGCTCTCACTGACGCGTTGTAGATCCGACCTTTTACAACCAGACTGACATCACGAAGGCGCCAAAGGTGGCCCAGATTGGCATAAGCCGCTCTAGCTTTCACTATACGTGCATTGATCTCATCACTCACATCCCCACCAGCACTTATGCAGCTACCCAGATACACGAACTTCTCGACTACGTCTATCTGCTCACCATCCAGGGTGAGTACAGGATTGGAATCCTGCCAGTCTTGTAGAAGTACTTTGCACTTGGAAGGTGCAAAGCACATACCATACCTACGGACACTGATTGTCAACTGATTAAATGCGGATTGCATGCCTTGGGCATTATCGCACAGTAAGACAATATCGTCCGCATACTCAAGGTCGAGAAGTCTTTCTCCAGGCAACAGATCCACACCACCATTACTTACATTCATCAGAGCTGTTTCCAGAATGTCATCGATGGCAGAGTTGAAGAGGAATGGTGAGATTGGGCAACCCTGCCTAACCCCACTGCTCGAATGGAACAATGAAGAGAGGTGGTTGTATGCCCTCACTCTGCCTGAGGTGTTTTTATATAGGGCTTTTAGGATGTTAATAAACTTCTCAGGCACACCCTTCTTCAATAGACAATCCCAGAGAACAGTTCTGTCCAACGAATCGAAGGCAGCCATGATGTCAAGAAATATTACGATTGTTGATCTGTGATAAGTATGACGGTGTTCTAACATTTGGCGTAGGTTGAAGATATGATCAATACATCTTCGACCAGAACGAAAACCAACCTACTCCTTGCGAGTCAATCTTTCTCGAATTTTGAACAACCTACGAAATATGACAGAAGTCAATAGCTTTGACGCAATGGGAAGTAGACCTGTTCTCCGATAGTTGTTACAGGAACGACGTGAACCCGTTTTAAATATAGGGACAACTATCGACTCATTCCATGACGTTGGTACACTCTCTAGTTCCCAAACCTTTGTAAACAACGTCGTCAATTCCTTAGTCAAAAAGTCACCACCATCTTTAAAATAGCCGGAGGTAAGTCATCTGGGCCAGGTGATTTGTAACGCTTCAAGAGTTGGAGTTCCTTGCGGACTTTCTCCTCGTTTGGTGGGTCAGTCGTCACCGGCCATGGAGGGCAGGACAGTCTGACCGATGTTGCCGGAGCAGCAGGCCAGTTGAACTGCCCTTCGAAAAATTCAACCCACCGTCCAAGACGTCGATGGATGTTAGTGATTGGCATCCCATCATCCTCGCAGATTGTTTCACTCACACCAGACTTTTTGCTGCCAGTGGCTCGGATGAGTTGGAAGAGCTTCCGGTAATTACCAGATGCAGCTGCTGCTTCCAGCTCATTAGCACGCTTCGACCACCAGGCTTCTCGGTCCTTACGCAAGCTTTGCCCAATTCCCTTACATAACATCCTTCGTTTGTGGTCAAACTCACGGTCACCCGGAGTAGACCGACGGGCTTCAATGAGTTGTAAGGAACCAGAAGAAACCCAGTGCTTAAAAGCGGGACGTTTCGCAAACCCACGACTGCCTGTACACGCCATTTTCATGGCGTCATGCAATTGCAACCAATGCTCATCTATACTTTTCAGTGGAGTGGTAGCTAGCCTAGAGGCTTGCTCGGTTCGATACTTATTTGCAACAGAAGTTGCAACCAGCTTGCTAACATCAATCTTTTGGTGGTGGTCACTTCGTTGGCCACTGAAAAGTAAGGCAAGATTGGCGCAGACCAAGGCATGGTCAGAGTCCAGATAGGTACTCCAAAAGGAGCGGCAGTCTTGTACACAACCACGCCAGCGGTAGCTGATCGCGATGTGATCAATTTGAGTCCAGGCTTGGGATGCAGAGGGAGGACGCCAGGTGGCACATCGGCGATGACTGTGCCGAAAGATAGTGCTACCCAGAAACAGGTTGTGGTCTGTGCAAAGTCGCAGTAGACGGTCCCCGTTATCTGACCTGCGACCAACGAGTCCCCATCGGCCACCTAAACGACTCTCTTCTGTGCCTAGACGCCTGACCTGAGCGTTCAAGTCTCCGGCTAGTACTACAATATCTGTCGAACGCACTTTCTGGAGAAGAACAGATAACTGGTGGTAAAACTCATCCTTGATTGCATCCGGGCTGCAATCTGTCGGGGCATAGGCGGAGATGACGAAAAGACATCGTTTCTCACGCCGATTTCTTCTCACTTTGATGGAACTTTCTAATCTAACAGTACATAACCGACTGTTAATGGGGATCCAATCGACTAGTGCTGCCTCAGCTCTAGCGCTTAGTGCGACACGAACGCCTGCAAGACCAGACGAAGATGCCACAGGGTCCCTGGATAAGCGCACGTAAAACAAGCTTTTTGAAGTGATAGATGTATAGCGAATTTGTAGTACTTCGCTAGAGTCTTGAATACGGGTCTCGGATAGACAACAAACATCAATATTAAGACTTTCCAAAGACATAGCCAGCCCTATCTGTTGTCCAACCTGCATAAGTGTGCGAACGTTGAAGGCAGCCAGTTTGAATGGCGCACGTGGTTTCAGAAAAACTGCTTTAGTCCTCGTATTCGGTGGTAACGTACAATTTTCAACCGAACAGTGACTCGAGAACGTTTAGATACAGTCGAATTTCCACCAAAGACGAGCCGCTGTATAATTATAAAAGAGGGTGAATAATGTGGAAAATAATAATAATAACGACAATAATAGTAATAATAATAGTATTAATAATGACAATAATAGTAATGATAATTATTTGAATCGACTGATTGTTTTTCGGAGCGATAAAAGTAGTTGCCAAAGACATAGAGTTCATCGTTTGTGTGTGGGCTGTGATACTACCCGGGTGCCCAAACCGAAGCAGGTGGTTTTCTTAGGGGGCCACTCCCCGAGCCTTTGACCTAAAGGTTTAACCCACAAGGCAATGGAGCATCGTAAGGAGATGCAATCCCATGGTAGCCGGTGACCAAGATTGGTTCATACGCCATTTGTTCCCGCAGGATACTGGAGCCCATGTGCACCATTGATTTGTGATCCGGTTAAAGCGCCGGACATTCGCTTTTCGTCCTCTCATTTTCGTAAACAACACCCCCGCCACGAGAAGGCAATGAGTAGGACTTCCCTGGCAGAGGCTGTATATGCGTGGCCGTGTGAGAGTATTTCGAGAGGGAGAGCGGACTCACCCCACTCTCGGCCGTACCAGGGCATTCGTGGGCAAAACTGAATATCACTATATGGTGATTAAAAATAAATATCATCTATTCAATATAAACAAAAAAGGTATTAGCGTTATCGACAGAATAACTGGTTTATAAGTAACATTCAGACTTGTAAGCGGAAAATAGCAGTCCATTAAGGAGTAGTAGTCGATACATTCATGAAACATCAAATGAATATCCGACATTTCTGAAATAGTGAACATCTGAAAGTCAGTTCGAGTGGTCGAGCTGTTCATTTATGAAACTAATAACAGCCTAAAGTTGTTATGCAGTATTTTAGTTACTCATTCTTTTTGTCATTCTCTGTTTCTTTCTTATATAATATGAATTTATTAAATATGATACCCAATATATCACTGAAAGATCTGATGTAAAGTGACACCTAAGATGCACCAAAATTAAAGGAATATCCACAGATTAAGCTTTAATAATATATACTATCATTTCAGCTTACTAACAGACATTTTTCAAGTGACGTGGTTGCTCTAAAATACAATTTATTCGGCCTTTCTTAATAATGACGCCGTCTTATCACTTTTCTGTGTAAGTGATATTTACCGAATGTTTACTGCACCCGTCGGAATGTGGTGCGTGCTACTTATATTGACATAAGTAGTATATAACGCGAGTCAGGAATGTAATGTCTGGCAGCCGAAGATTGGGAAGATCAAGAAAGGAAGAACGGGAATAGAAAGCAATTAGTATAGAAATGCAAAAACAATAAAGTCCGAGACAATTATTGAACATTTTGCAAATGAGGTATTATAGTATGGTTTTTCTATTTTACCAAGTAACTCTGTAATGTTGTGTTAAATATAGTTCGGTTGTCCTCACCTGTGTTCTCCTCCAGTACATTTGGTGTCTCTACCTCCACTAAGGATGAAGATTCCATGGCCGAAGGGATTTGAGGACAGATATGTGGTGGGCTTCCTGAAGGAGTTTGAGGCCGTGGCAGATATGGTGGTGCTGGTTACGCTGCTGAGAGGCAGGGCAAAGACTGTATATATACAGCTTGGACGGTGCTGGCAGAAAGACGACATGGAAGACAGTCACGGAGCGGTTGATGGCGGGGTTCGACGGCCCAGTGGACAGGGAGGAGGCACTGCAGAAGTTCCGGTTGGCGAGGTTGTCGGTCGATGGTGACCCACTGGTGCTGGCTGTGGACTTAACCAGGTTGTTGCACCGTGCGCTGGCGAATCTGGATGAAGAGTTGGAGGCACAGTTATTGGCATCGCAGTTTATTGAGAGTGTGTCCACCACCGTTTCCCAGCAGCTGGAACTAGTAAACGCAGCGCAACCTATGGACATTAGTGAACTGGCGAAGGTGACTTGACAACTGATGACACGAACAGTAGCTCCGGTCGGGTGCGGAAAGCAGGAGATAAATAGTGACGAGAAGATGATTGAGGAGCTGGAGCGTGAGATTGCGGCAATACGGGTGAATCATAAAAGGAATGATAAATGTTACGCTTATGGAGGGACAAGACATTGGAATATAAACTGTCCAACAAGACGAAGACGCAGATCTTTTAGACGTTATAAGATGTGTTCTTTCTACCCTAGGAATCTGGGAGTTGTTGCACTAGTAGATAGAGGGGCAGTTTATACGAGAGTAAACATAAATGAACGAGATTTAGTGTCTGATCGATACAGGGGCAGCAGTATCGTTAATATGCAAAGAGCAATGTAAGAGACTCAAGCCATGTACATTAGCTGTCCACACCATAGGAGGGCACATGTTAGAAGTGTTGGGGGTGTCTAATCGTGTCGTAAAAGTGGGTGATGTTGAGATAAATTTTCCGTTTGTGGTAACCACAAGCTTATCGAGACCGATATTAGGAGCAGACTTACTAAGAGAAGAAAGAGCGATAGTTGACTTAAGAAGCGGTAAGGTGATCACAAAGTACGGTTCATTATCAATACACGAAAGTAGCGAAGTGACTGAAATAAGAGTGGCAGCGAATGTCTCGTCGAAGAAACCAAACACTAACGAGTTGTGCACAGAGTATGAGAAGCTGTTCACTGGAGATGGGAAGCCGTATGGATTTTGTGACAAAGTAAAGCACAAAATCCCGATAAGAAACGATCGAGTAAATATATTTGCGACACGTCGTGTCCCGGTGCATGTAGAGGCCGAGGTAAATCGGCAAGTCCAGGAGATGTTGAAAGAAGGTATAATTGAGCAAGTGGACAGCCCGTATAGCTCGCCGGTACTCTTGGTAAAGAAACCGAATGGGAAGTATAGATTTTGTGTCGACTTCAGAGAACTGAATAATATAACAGACCTGAAACGTTGTGCAATGCCAACAGTGGTGGAAACGTTAGGTCGGCTACAGAATGCTACGGTGTTTACAGTGCTGGATATGCGGTCAAGTTATTGGCAACTGCCTATAAAAGATAGAGATCGAAGCAAGACAGCATTTACTGTACGTAATAAACAGTATCAATTTAAACGAATACCGTTCGGGTTGGCGGGTGCACCGTTTACGTTCAGAAGATTAATATTGCTACTACTCAAAGATCTAGGCAACGTCGAGGTATATGGCGACGATGTAGTTGTGTACAGTCAGACAAAAACAGATCACATCAAGCATGTGAAAACAGTTTTAAAGCGAATTGACGAATTTGGACTTCGAATTAATAAGGATGAGTCGCAGATAGCGAAAAGCAGCGTCACGTTGTTGGGACATAAAGTGGGAAATGGAGAAATAAAACCATTGCCGGAGAAAATTCTTACCATAAGGAATATTTCAGTGCCTAATTCGAAAAGAAAGTTGAGACAGTTCTTGGGAAGGGTGGCGTTTTACAATCGGTTTGTCAAGAATTTCAACGAAATAGCAGCACCCCTATATAAGTTGTTGAGCAACACTAAGTTTACGTGGACTGAGACTGCCTGAACCCGAGAAACCGTTTAGTGGACACAGACGCAAGTGATCATAATGTAGGTGCTGTGTTGAGTCAGTCTGATAGAGTGGTGGAATAAGCGAGTCGCGTTCTCACACCCGCCGAACAGGAGTATTCAACGATAAACAAGGAGTGTTTAGCAGTAGTGTGGGCAGTAGACAAATGGAGACCGTACCTTTTAGGTAGACAATTCCACATTGAGACTGACCATAAACCCCTGCAGTGGTTGAAAACAGCAAGGGAAGTTGGCGCGATGGATGATACATCTGCAAGAGTACGACTTCAGTATCGGCCATGCTCCAGGGAAGGAAAACGTAATGGCGGATTACTTGTCAAGACTAGACATGGAAGCCGACCTTCCATTGACAGCATACGCGGGGAAGAGTTGAGAGGGAGACCCATTAGAACTCGTCCAGCAGCAGAAAGCTGACCCTAACCTTCGAGAGGTAATCAGAGTGATAAGAGAGGGAGCAGACGTCGATAAACGAACTATAGACAAGGAGGTAGTGATGCTGCTTCGGCAAAAGGAACGACTGAGAGTGAACTCATATGGAGTGCTGACCTGGCAGGACGATGATGAGAATTGGGTGGCGGTGATCCCGAAAGACTGGCGGCGTAAAGTTATACACGAGTGTCACCAGGTAGCACATGCAGGCATCACAAGAACGACGGATTTACTACGGCAAAGTGCATACTGGACAAGCATGAAAGACAATGTGGCTTAATACGTGTTAACTTGCCAGCAGTGCCAACTAATGAAAAGCGATCGATACGCACAACCGCCATAATCAGGCATATCGTAGCATCTCACGGAATACCGAAGAAACTCCAACTCTTGAGGCGCTACAAACCACTAGGCCCAGATGACCTAACTCCGGCCGTTTTTAAAGATGGTGGTGACTTTCTGGTTACGGAACTGGCTGAGTTGTTTGCAAAGGTCTGGCAGTTAGAGACTGTTCCAACATCATGGAATGAGTCGATAATCGTCCCTATCTTTAAAAAGGGTCCACATCACCTATGCAAAAACTATCGAGGGATAAGTCCACTTCCGATTGCTTCTAAACTATTGGCTTCCGTCATATTTCGTAGATTGTTCAGAACCCGTGGAAGATTGACTCGCGAGGAGTAGGTTGGTTTTCGTTCTGGTCGAAGATGCATTGATCATATCTTCAACCTACGCCAAATGTTAGAACACCGTCATACTTATCACAGATCAACAATCGTAATGTTTCTTGACATCATGGCTGCCTTCGATTCGTTGGACACGACTGTTCTCTGGGACTGTCTGTTGAAGAGGCGTGTGCCTGAGAAGTTTATTAATATCTTGAATTTTCTTTATACAACCTATTCAAAGATATTAATAGTTTGCAATCACCTCTATTGTCCCTACCGATCAGTCTAGGTACGCAACGTTCCAACTCCATTGTTATTCTTCGAATATATGATTGCTGACAGTCTGAAAACAGCTGTAATAATTGCAGGTAACGGTGATGTAGATCTCTTACATGAGAAAAATCCTTTCAATATTTATGTGACCGGTATTAGCTTACCTAATTAGTTGACTATCAGTGTCCGTATGTATAGTATGTACTTAACGCCTAATTGCAAGGTAATTTTACATGACTGGTAGAAGCATGTTATCAGATTCACTAATATAACAGTTAAACTAACTTGAATAACTCACATTGCCAATATTTACGTATTTAAATAAATAAAATATTCCATCTGTTTACCAAAGCACATCCAGTGTGTTTATTTGTTCTACACAACGTGCTTTTTTCTTATCAATCATTCATCTTTGTGAAGTTTTATATAATACATTTGCTAGTCACCGTGTTGAATTGCGTGTGCAAATATTGTCTTATGCTTTTTGATATTAGCCGTGTTTCTCTCATATTTTTAATTAGGGTTTACGCCTATCCATTTTCATGAGTTGACTCAAAAGATGAGTCGTTAGTTTACGGGTTACTCAATTTTCATAGAGTAAATCCTCTGTAAATCAATCACATGAACATTCATAAAACAAATACGATATGGTTTTTAAATAAATGAGATTTTTCAATTTCGTCAGTCTGCTTTTACATTCCATTTTATCATACATTTAAGATAAACAACCACCCAAAAGGTGTACAGGTTTTTGTACTTTTTTTCAGCTATTGCACATACAGGACCTGTGCTAGGCCTCAAATTTTCATCAGATGGTTTGCATTTAATTTCATGGGGTGGTTCCGGTTTAACCGTAAATGCTGCATCCCTTCGTCTTTGGACGTCTGGTCCTGGTGATTGTGAGCAATCATCACATATTCCTAGATTGCGTCCCGTGAACTTTGGAAACATAATTTTCAACTCGGAAAGTAACCAAATTTCTGACGCTGAGAATCAAACTTTTACAAGTTCTAATTCCTCAGGAAGTGGGAATCAGAGTCCACAATCGTCTGTCTTGCCAATAAGATTGGATACCACACATATGTCAATAGGCGATTTGTGGGGAGCCTCATCGTTATGTATTTTTGTTCCTGTAAGAAACCGCTTATTAATTGCTTCAGCGTCTAAACACAACACATCGACTAAAATTATAACGCGACACTTTTCAAAAGTGGGTTTCTTGAATTATCCCAACTGTTTTTCATTTGTTAGTAAACTCACTATTTTGTTATACACTGTGGCTTTGATATTCATATCTTATACCTAACTAAATATGCAAAAAAGTCTTTGTAGATGTACTTTATTTTTACTATTGACCAGACTTACAATTCAGTTTTCCTTAGATTCACTTTGGTACATATCGGAATCATAATCCTAGTGCCAATGTGCGACATCCCTAATAACCTTAGTAACTTCAGATTGGTTCTAATTAGCTGACTTATCTAAAATTCAATATCTTAGTTGTCATCTCCTAACGTCTCTTTGTAGGTACATACCTCACCCGAATAATAGTTGAAGTAGTTTGATAAGTGTTACATCAGCTTCCTATATCCCTACCAGTTTCTTCATTAGGTAATACAACCTTTCGAGTGTGCAAAATAGTGGAATTGCCTAACTCTATTCAGTTCAATGCATCATGACTGAAGCCAAACTTGGTGTGCTAGTTAGTCGTGGTCTAGTTAATTTGTATGTTTAAGTGCTAACTGTTTCTTTTTCATGGTTCATTAGTTTAGCGTTGATTCAGACTGAAGCACACATCCCACGAATGCATTTGGACGTGCATCCATTATTGAGGCTTTACTTCTAAGTACTTATATTTTAAAATACCGTTTGTCCTCAGCAGTTTTTATGAATTTTAGATACGTGCATGTGTTTGGAACGATCGTCGTTTAGAATTGTATACCTGCGGAGCTGATGGAAATCTGTTTACATGGCCCATTCTTCCTCTTTCAAGCAGCAATGTGATTGATGATGATCAATTTTAATTTATACACCTTAGTATTTTGTAAATAAACATGTATAGTGATAATTGAAATCTTATAATTAACTATTGCACACTTGTGTTGTTATTACTGAATATGCCTATCAGAACTAATGAATCCAATTGCCAGTTGACTGCTGTTTTTAGTGAATCAAATGGAAGAGTTATAACATTAATATTATGTAGTTTTAGTTGAATTATCCATAATTGTTGTCAAATGTCATATGTCGTACAAAGTTGAACAAAAGTGAACCTTAGTGATTGGTATATTTAGTCGTTATCGTTTGCGATCAGTCTTGTGGTAACCATTTACCAACTGATTAAGTAAGTGATACATTTTTAGCGTCTCGGGAAATGTCTTATTCGTTGGTACTAGAAAGCATAAATTACAATTTCGTCGTAAAAATACCTTGGAAATTATTTTTTATATTGACATTTATTCGTGAGATGTGGTAAATAGCTTCTTGCTTTTGGGGTTTATTGGGAAATGTATTTCGCCTTTAATAACGGTTCAGATATTGCGTACGTGACAAATACGCGAATCACGACTGTACTGTCTCCTTATTGCTAACTTTATATATAAAAAACTTCCTTCGAACTACTAGTATTTTAGTGTTATAGCTATGAAAGTTGAACTGATTTATATTCTTACGAGTGCTCCTTCTCATTTCGAATCATGATCGACTTAGTTGAGCTAATATTGGACTTGGTGTTGAACATACAGCTTAAGTACAACCTTTTTATTCAAACCAATGGAATATCGGACCCATAATTGATTTCCTATATATAGTCTCTAGAACTGTGACCTGCACTTTTGAGCAGAACCTTAAGAAACAGTACAACAATTCTGAGGCTATATCAAAACTAAATTGCAACAGCTAAGCGTATCGGAAAAGGTAACAGAAAGCTGTCAGAGTATAAAAAATATGCTTCTCATATAACAATTCATTTGCTGGGTACGCTTGATGTATTTTCTAGTAATGTTTCGAATCCCAGTCAGTTTTGAAACATAGCATTGTTACGGGTTAGTTATTTTCGTATCGAGTATTTGAAAATGGTGGTTGTTTATTTGGTGCTAGTGTTTGATTCCAGTTCATATGGAGTTGCTTCAAGTATTTATAAGGCACCACTATGCGAAAAACCTTATTCTTACGATTTGTTTACAAGAAATTATATACTTTGCCACACGTTATTTCAATATCATATCTCTCTGACGTCCCTTAATCATTCGTCTCCTAATGTATTTTGAGACCTATTGCTGCAGAGGCGGCTGCTAAACTGGGTGTCTTCATTCGCATTTGTTGCTGTGTAAGGGATAGAAAACCTAGGTGTTCCACGACGTCTAGATTATTTAGTTGCGTCCGAGGTTTCCGTGATTCTGTTGAGATGCGGAAATCTTCATAATCCAATCAAACACCGGAAGAAAGAAAAGGCGAGAACAAGCAATCAGCCTTGTCTAACACTGATCTGCACTTGCAATGAATCTGTGAGTTGTCTTACATGCATCACTTAGTACTTTAGTCCGTCGTAAGAATTCCGTATGGTGGTGAAGATCTTGTCAAATACTCCATAATGTCGAAGAGGGATGCATAACGTTTTCCTATCGGCGCTGTTCATTCATCTTAGTTAAGGAAGATGAAGTGACGAGTTCCATCCAATTGATCCGTAGTTTAGATGGTGGTTGGAGGTAGTCAACAGGAAACCCTGTACCCGGTTTTCGTGCTGCTTGGCACTCGTCAGCAAGGTGTACCTGTAATCTTGAGGGAACTGGTGCTCCCTGGCGGATTCGATCTCGTGTCACCTAGCTTCACAGTCAGAGACGTTACTACTGAGGTATCCGAGCCGCGACTGACCTCCTGTAGGACTGAGATGTAATCACAATTGATTGATCACTGAGTGGTGATCAATGTCATGCTTGTCTAGTCCTTATTAGTGCAGATCGAATGCTATGTGGCCACCAGTCTAGGTGACTCGACACTGCAGACAGTATATATTGAGATTTAGCTCAGTGGTAACGTCTCTGACTGTGAAGCTGGGTGACACGAGATCGAATCCGCCAGGGAGCACCAGTTCCCTCAAGATTACAGGTACACCTTGCTGACGAGTGCCAAGTAGCACGAAACCCGGGTCCAGGGTTTCCTGTTGACTACCTCCAACCACAATCTAAATCTCAATACATAGTGCCCGCAGTGTCCAGTCACCTAGACTGGTGACCACATTGCAACATGATCGATAGCATTCGATCTGCACTAATAAGGACTAGACAAGCATGACATTGATCACCATCAAGTGATCAATCAGTTGTGATTACATCTCAGTCCTACAGGAGGTTAGTCACAGCTCGGATAGTTCAGTGGTAACGTCTCTGACTGTGAAGCTGGGTGACACGAGATCGAATCCGCCAGGGAGCACCAGTCCCCTCAAGATTACAGGTACACCTTGCTGACGAGTGCCAAGTAGCACGAAACCCGGGTCCAGGGTTTCCTGTTGACTACCTCCAACCACAATCTAAATCTCAATATATAGTGCCCGCAGTGTCCAGTCACCTAGACTGGTGACCACATTGCAACATGATCGATAGCATTCGATCTGCACTAGTAAGGACTAGACAAGCATGACATTGATCACCATCCAGTGATCAATCAATTGTGATGATTCGTAGTGTCGCGATTTGGCCTGTGTACAACCGATAATTACGGAATCGAGCCTGTTGATCTCGGAGCTGAATCTTTAATCTGGTTTAGCGATACTCTGTTGAAAACTTTTCCCAGTGCCGGTAGTAGTGTGATACCTCTGTAGTTCTCATATTTGTTCAGATCTTTCTTTGGTATCTTGATGCGGTATTCTTTCCGGTCTGCCAGCAATTGTTCTTACTTCCAAATCTCGGAATAGAACGTGGAGCATCTTTACAGTTGCTTCTATGTCTGAATTCAGTACTTCAGCTGATATGTTTTCAGGTCCTGCTGCTTTCCCACTTTTGATTTGTCTTATGACCATGCTGAATTCTTCGATAATTGGTAGAGTGACAGCTATAGGAATATCTATGTATACCGCTTTAATGTCCGGGGAGTTCAGTGGGGCTGGTCTACTCAAGAGTTCTTCGGAGTGTTCAACCCACCTGTTCCTCTGTTCTTGAATCTGGGATTTCCTGCCTTCTTTGTCTTTAATTGGTCTCTCTGGTTTACTATAACTTTCTGCTAGTTTATTCGTTGTGTCATATTTCCTTCTCTTGCAGCTTTTACTGCTATCGTTGCTAGGTCTTGAACGTATTTCTGCTTGTCGGCTTTGATACTCTTCTTCACTTGCTCGTTTGCTTCTGTGTCTCCAGCATTTGCCTTGACTGTCGTTGATCTTGTACTCCATAGAAATGATGGGTTGGTGATATTTCCGGGCACACATATTATCAGGATTTTTCGCAATTCCAATACAGGAGAACGATTTTGGAAGGCGAGAACTAATGCTGCGATAAAAAACCAGGTCAGCCCCTTTATGATATAACTAACGTTACGGCATAAGAAATGAAAACCTGCTACAAAACCTTAGCTCCGAAGAGAAAGATATTAAAACGCACGTCTCATTCTAGAAACATGGGGATGAAGACACTTGAGACTAGATACGCTTGTCAATTAAGTAATTTCGTACTCTAAATTAGTCATACCTTGTGTCGTATGTCTTTTCTACACGGGTACCAAAAGTTACATAAAAATACTATAACAATGGTGAAGAAATATTCCAACGTCTATTGGATCTATCAACAGTGAAATAGTAGCAAGACCGGGAATGAGATTTGACTGAGCACGTAGTCCTGAAAAGGACTATTGAAGAAATGAGTTATGGCCCCAGCAAACGATTTTCAGGTGTCATACACTGATGTGTGGGCTAGGAAGCTAGTGATCGGTCATTTACCTTGTCGAACTAGTAAGTAGTCTGACATATTAGATGCGCTATGTATTTTCCTACCCTTTGGTACTATTGTTGACGTGGAAATATACTCACGTTCTTGTTAGGTTGGCCACGTCTTCTTGATCCAAGTTGTGTTGAAATTCTGTAGAATAGACTGGCAAGGTATCTAGTGTAGATATTCGTCTAAGACAAATTAGTGTTCTATTGTTATAGAGGAGGAAACCGAGCCTTATTTCATACACCAATAAATAATTTATTCTAAAGATCTGATGAGCTATAATGAACAAGTACATACACAAGTGAAGGATACATGAAACTGACGAAAGTGGTAACAATTCACCGGAAACAGTTTTGGAGAAATTTTGAGGATGTTTGGTTTATTTTGGTTTTTTGTATCCGTTCGTCGTACCAGCGTTACTTTTACGTTTACGATCAGATGCACTGTTTGATACCTTTTTGTGACTGCTGTTGGGAGTCGACGTGGATGACTACAAGGAAAAGAGTGAGAACAGTAACCGACGCATGAGACAAGCATACACCAAAACATTTACTTACAGGTGAAAATGTACATGGGTAAAAGTTCGTAAACAATAATTTGAATAAATGTGAAATCACCAATATGATTGTCGTATGCTTTTTCTGTTATTTTACCTATTAAGAATAAGTTTGAGCAGATGCATTGTCTAGATAAATAAGGCTCGTATACAAATAGCAAACTATATGCATTTCATAAATCTGAAGCTCTAAGTACGCAAGATACTAAGAAAATTTGTACTTCCAAACGTTAACATCACTATCATGAAGTTACAGACATCATTTGATTTAATCAAGTCTTAAAACAATGGATCGACAGATTACGATAAGTTGCTGGCGCACTAATTAATAATAGTCACTGGCGTATCTTGTACTTATCCTGGAACGAAATCTCTTTACTTATCACTTGTTAGTAGCCTCTGGAATTTAAAGACAGGATTTCAATCGCATATGCGCTCAAACATCGCAATAAGAAAAAACGAAGATTTTGACAAGAGAGCTTACCATTTTCAGAAATAAAAATAATGACAGAATTTTGTTTATACAGTGACGAGTATGAACCTGAGCACAAGTAATCTAAGCGAGAGTAATTAACTAGATAACAATAAATGCCAGTGTGGTAATATGAGTTAAAAGTTATTGAGGACTTGTTCATCAAAGCTACACAATTCATTAATATGTATTATAGACCAGATGATTCGAGTTCATCTTTGTAACTAAATAGAATAAAAAAATTGTCAAATAATAAGCTTCCATTGACAGTACTTACATTACTTTTTGATGGGACACAGCTGAAAAAGTTGTCTATTCGACCTTGAGTAGTTGTATTTCTGGCTTTTAATAACTTTTTCGCTCCATTTCTTATACGTTCTTCACTTTTAATAGTCAGATGAACAAATAAAAAAGAAAATGCGGAGTTGCGTACATATACAAAAAAAGAAACCACAACGATGAACTATACAATGATGTCGAGTATGTTTAATGAAATCTGTAAAAGTATATTGTGACGACGAAGCAATCAGATTCGGAGTTGTGGGAGAAAACCAAAAATCACTGACGAAGAGTTTGTGTTTTATACTAAGATTTAGTTGCCGAGATGCTTAACATTGATAAACATGGAAAGCCTAATGAATAGGGACTATGATTTATAATTTTTTAAAGATAACTTAAATGTTCCCGATACCTAAAACCAAGAACTTCTCTGCAAATGTCTTCATTTATATGGCACCACAGGGCAGTCGCCTTCTCTTATATTTACTACTAACTGATAACCCTAAGCCTTCAACTCCAGCTTAACTCTTAAGCATGACCTAACTCCTAGGCCTTAAATCAAAATATTAATCGTAAATCCTAACCAGGACTCATAAAGTTTTTCGGTTTCAATATAATAAACTATTTACTTGTATTACATGCATTCTTATTGACTAAGGATTTAACATTTCAGCGTAATCTGGGGGTTGTTGAAAGTCATCAGTAAAGCATACTCTTGCAAAACTTCCAAGTGTTTTATTTGCATATAGATACAAGGAAGGAATTAAGTAGCTTTCATGCTTTTCTAAATCAGCATTGCTTTCACCATTGGCTGAAAACGTTACAAAACCACTGCATTTTTACTAAATAATAATAAGTTTTTGACGAACTGTCGACTAGGTAGTTGTATATCTGAATCTGATTGCTTCTTAGTGATTATCTACCTCATAATTTAGACAGGTTACTGTGCTTTGTATAGTGACTCCCAATTCGTTCAATAAATTACATATAGTTGTAAGAAACTACAACAAAAGTTGAATTACGATAGTACACTTTTGAGATTAAACGAATAACCTTTAAACTACACAATCTACCTAAATTAAGCTAGCAGAGATGTATTGCTTGGAAACCAGATAACTGAAAAGATCGCAAGTAGTAATCGTGATAAAATCAGTCAATCAGTTACCACGCAGTACCAAGCACATATATTCAAGTTGCCACACCTAATTCGCACAAGATGACACACCAAATTCATAGGACTAGTCACTTCAATAGTAGTAATATATAAAAGATTGTGTATAAGGATTTAGTACAGGAGGAAAAAATTAGGTCGTAGAAAGAAAGATATAAAGCAATTTTAACCTCGTAGTTTGAGCGAAGACAAAGAGTGTATACACTTACGCCATTGTGATCGATTCTGAGCCATGTCACCCAGAATCTCCAACCACTAGTTACGTTAGTCGCGCGGACCCCAACCAAGTAGTCTGCATCTACCAACATGACTCAGACTAGGAGTTAGTGACTTCAAGCACTGGTGCCATGTTTTGGTTTGACCGCCCCTAACTTTCTTCCAACCATTCCCAACACTAGCTAGTATTGCGTGTCGTGGTAATCGGTGTTCAGGCATACGTAACACGTGGCCTAACCATCTCAGTCGGTAAAGATTCACAAGCTCACCAACTGATTTATCATCATTCCCTAATACCCTGCGTCTCACCTCACTATTACTTAACCGGTGATCCCAGCAGATGCGAGCGATATTTCTAAGACATCTGTGGTTAAATACTAGTAGCTTTCGAGTATCTTTTACTCCTAATGGCCACAGAACGAACTACTGCGCAGTAAACTCGTCTCTTAACTGATAGACAATATCTCGCCTTCGCCATAGGTGACGTAAGTTGGCAAAAGCCAGACGAGATTTTTGAATCCGAAGAGATTTCGTCAGAAAATAAAATAAAAAGTTTCGAATGTTTAGCAGTACTCACTTGAACCCATGTTTGTGGCATAGAAACTCTACCAAACCTTCTTCATCTGGTTCATTCCATTTAAGCTAAATGAAGAAACCATAGTGAAACAGTCAGTAGAAATCCTCTACTTTATTTATTGCACTATAGAGACAAATATAGCTTTTTAGTGTAAAAGTCTATTTTTCCAATAAACTATCGGTAACATTCCACTTTAAGGTTCGTTATTTAGACATAAGGAACGTTATTGAGTAATCAGTGAAAAATAATCTGAAGTGATGAATAAGTAAGCTTATTATTAAATGTTATTCACAAGTTGGAGAGTGATTGATATGAAACCCCATTTTAATAGTCTATCCACAGAACAAACTTCTTGTAATGAGGTTACTCAGAGAAATGAGGCACATGCCAAACGGAAATTGAACTTATGACTTGAATAACTGTAATATTATTTCAAAAATTGCAGTCAAAATATTTGTTTTTATTTGAGAATACATTTGTCCAGCGACCTGTAGATAGGTTTGAACTTATTTGATCTACTTTGTGTGAGCTTTTGAATATAAGCAAAAAATACAGAGCCTATAACATTAAGATTGACATCAAGTTAACAAAAAGTCAGCGAATTCAACAATAAAATGTGTAACTATTCCTCTCTCTTTCTACTATATGAACCTAAGAAAATGCTCAACTCCGTAGATTGACAGGCTTTATAGCAATATCTGTCATTGAAAAACGCACCAAAGAAGTACGTCAACTTTGTACAGACTCTCTAATCAGACACTACTAGTCAATTCAGGATTGATAACATCAAGTGTTCGTCGAGGTCGTCCGTTTCCCCACTTTTTAACCAACTTTGCCATAGATATCCTTTCAGAGATAATACTTTTCTCATTAACCACTTCACTTATCTTAAAAGTCTCGTCAGCTTTGGTGGGATTGAGTGGGACGAAATCTGGACATGGATTTAAGAAGCTTGCTTGAATTTCGCTAACTTACGTCACCTGTCCATCTCTCAACCAAAAGATGAGTATACTTTGCAGAAGTTCCTTTCGTTCTACTTTGTGGTTGTGAAACATGGCTTTTAAAAATGAAAGACATTCGTAGGTAACTAGAATGTTGTCATAGATGCCTTCATGTATTTTGGGACCATTAAGTGTGTAATGCTGACGTTAGGCACACCATATTAAATGTAGATGGCAAATCATTTGATATGCACAGTGGTTCGTGGTCGCCTGAGATGTCTGGGACATGTATTACGTATCCTCAATCACGCTCTTACTTCAATGTAATCAGTCAGTCATCCACAATGTATGACCAAGCACATATATACATCGGTCCGAGTTGCCATACCTCATTAGCACAAGATGAACACTAAATTCATAGAAGCAGTTACTTCAATAATGCTTCGACACAAGATGATAGTTGATGTGAGCGGTTAGAAGAACGCTAGGAACGGCCTAACCAAGGTATGGAATCAGTCCATGTAATCACTAACTGTTGGATTGAGATACATGGGTGGGTGTAGACTATTTGGTTGGGGTCAGTGCGATCCTTTTGACTAATGGCTATACTGACTGATTTCCTAGTATTTGTAAGAATTTAATTTCAAAAAATGTGGTCGTTTAAAATTTAGAGATGAGATCATTAATTTGTTTCTATCATACTAGGAATATTCGTAATCATTATGAGCCAAAACACTGGGACACTTAGGGGTTAGTTAAAATTAACATATTCAACCAGTACATAAGTATACATGTTTATTGGTAGACTGGTTACTAGTATACCATCAATAGCATCGAACATGCAAAAATAAAATGACTAAAAAATATATTGCTGTTATGTCTACAAATTATTTGCTTATAATGCATTGGTTCGTAGAAAAGTACACCTAGAAACAATCGAGGTTAAACAATAGTCTCTAAGGCACAACACAGAACGGATGGTTGGTTAAATGTGGACTATGTAGGGATAAATTTAATTTGCTTTGGTGAAGAAATATAGATGTAAAAAATCTAATTGGTGACATACTTCAATTGATGAAGGGTCTGTCACCTCGGGATTCAAGAAAAGCTTTTTCGCATCTTCGTAAGGCCAATCGTCTGGGACAGGATATTTAGATTTATCGATATTCTTCAAAACACAATCAATCGACTGATACTTATGCAACAAATCTAACGCTTTCTTAGGACCGATTCCTCGTATCGTATCAACGTAGTCACAACCAAGTAATATGCATAAATCTATAAATTGATCCATAGTTAAACCAAGACCTTCAAGAACTGACGTCAGGTTGAACTCTTGAATGGCCATTTTTCTATATAAAGAAATTAATAAACATTTTGTGAATATCACATGCTATTCGCATAAAGATCTATCTCAATTATTTTGTACACTACATAAAAAGATGATGGCATAAGATATTCCCGGATTTTCTGAAGGAATCTAAATATTAGGAAAATCCGATGATTAAAGGTATGAATTCAATGAAGGTATTGTATTTATTGAGAGAAGACAAACGATATGAGAATTTCGGATCTACTAATAGCAACAACTTGCGGATCTAGTACAATTTCTGCCTCATTATATTTAAATTTAAATTCAATTACGCTGCATTTTAATTATGGGAAACACATATGTAGATGGACGAAACAGTCAGTAAACACTTGTTGAAGCGAATAGCCCCATACACAGCAATACGCGAACCAGGTAACATTTGGAACTTATCAGGCTAACAGATTAACAAACCCATAAGGCTAGCATCACTCTTATACTTATCACCTCAAGTTATGTCTACGGACCAGTCACGAAAAAACGCGGAAGTTATCTTAAACTCGGACAACGAATTTCCTAATACTTTACATCAAGCTCGTTTACTAATCAACAAATAAAGAACCCAAGAAGTGATGTTAGAATTAACTAAAGAAAATGCTATCTACTAGTGAATAGTAATCTGAACTGGGTTTGGTAATCCACTAAGTTCAAAACAGTTATGACGTTAATATAATTAATCATTTTTCAGTTCAATATCCGTGAAGTGGAAGAACATACCGCACTGCAGCCAGGTAGTAGCAGCTAACAGCTTCAAAGCGAATGTCCGGCGCTTTAACCGGATTCCAAATCTATGGTGCACATGGGCACCAGTATCCTGCGGGAACAAATGGCGTATGAACCAATTTTCGGTCACCGGCTACCATGGGACTGCATCTCCTTACGATGATCCACTGCCTTGTGGGTTAGACCTTTAGGTCAAAGGCTCGGGGTGTGGCCCCCTAAGATAACCACCTGCTTCGGTCTGGGCACCCGGGCAGTATCGCAGCCCACACGCAATTAATGAACTGAAATTGTGTGGCGCATATATATTTGGCGCACTCCTGTACCAATATGTGTTCAAATAAAATAAAATAAATAAAATAACAGCTTCAATATTTAAGGATTGATTTACGAGCTCATTATTAAGTGAACAATTGTTAAAGTATGTTAACTGAGAGGTGATAATGTTAACAATCATAATAAATATAACATTTGAAAGCAAAATTCGGTTTCGTTGGTTGTTGTATTTTAGAACAGTAATCAACAGTAGAAAAATACCCAGAGAATTTAGAAACCAACTTAAGGTCTTCACATTACTTATCGTAAATCGTAGGACAGGTCAGAATAACGATATACTGAATATGCACTAAATCTGTACAATGAGAATTATTTGTCACTAGTGCATTAACAACAAAACAAAATCATTCACTCAACATATGGTTGTAAAGTGAAGGATGGGATATCTTTGACAATCAAAATATGAGTCTGAATAAGTCTAAAATGAAGTAATTACCTGGCTTCACTGAATGTCAAATGTCGTAGCAGAACTGGAGTACCAAATGCCAATGCATCCATATCTTCAGTCCCTACAGCATAAACTTTTCCTGACTTCGCCAATACTGCACATTGCGCTTCTGCTTCTCCAGGTGCCTGAAACAGTCAAATTAGCGATGTAAAATCGAGGGATAAGGGGGAAGTAAACAAGTGTATATTCTTGTCATATTAGCTATTTGTTTTCGACAGTCACATTAAGTAAAAGAGCACGGATGATCTGATTTTAAGTGAGTGAACCACGACTTCACAACCGTTTTTAACCAGTTGCTTAATAGTTAGCAGACAAGTAACACCCGTATCTGTTACGATGAATATATACTTCAAAAGCCTTCAACAAAACTACATTCATTTGTACATTTTGGAAACCAGAAGTTATCAAACAGTCTAGTCCAAGTGTAAAAGCAATTCTAGATGCAAATTTATTCGATAGGCCTTCAACTTTACTATTCATTTTGGCAATATCTGTGGTACATGATATTCAGTGTAAGAAATAAAAAGCGATTTTACTAGATCTGGATGGAGACAACTCCAACTGTTACATTTATTTACCTCTCACCTAATTAGCTCTCTAATTTTTCTATCAAGGTTCCATATATCGAACTGATGATGGATCGATAATCGATATTTTGTCATTTCACGGGCTGTTTTACGTGGCCTTACTTAAAAAGATTCCTAAATTATCATATCTGGGAGGAAGATATTCGCTAATATAAGTAATAATAAGGATTTCGGTTTACGAGAATAGTCTTTAGGTACACAGTTATTAATTAATACTTCAAAAATAAACTTGATATTTGAAGCAGTTTCTGATGCTTCATATCCCTATTTGAACCCAAATAAGAGTCAACCAAATCTGTTTTTATTTCATGAATACTTTAAAAAATATTGTGGAACAGTGCCACAAAATGGAAATAATAAATAAAAGCACTAGATTTTCTTAATGGAAGGGCCTGTTCTGCAAACCAAATGTTAGTAATTATCGTTACAAAAACACCGAAACCTAATCTTACACTCGTTCCTCAGCAGTACATGTGAAATACAATAAAATGCGTGCAGGTTGTCATAATTCTACTGAATGGCTATAATAGACCAACCATAAATATCATATAGTGAAAGGTGAAGACAAAATACCTGATAGAAAAGTGAAAATTCAATCATAAAAGGCTGTGAGAAAAAAGAAAATAATTTATCAACCACCAGCAAAATTTTGCACGTTACTCAAACACACTGAGGTGTGTCCTTACGCAAAATTCCGTTGACCTTTTCTAATTCAATTCCACTGACCTAGAATAGGAAGTAGTCAAATAATACTCGCTAATGCATAATGATCAGTGCACGCATTTTGTATGACTAAAAGGTAAGTTTGGAACGTAGTACTTGACATGAAAGATCCTAGTTTTCTATAATATTCAGTGCTGACAATTCATCCATATGCATCCATAACTTGTGTCAGTTCTTCTACTCATAGTTCCAAAGCTTTAAACAGTTGGCAGCATTTCCTTTATAAATAAATGATAATGACTGCTCGTGACAACTAATTCTGGATTGTATATGCGAATAAAATATCTGACAGAAATTACAGAAAACTTAAGACTTAATGTTTCGATGTTTAATTAAAATCCAATGTACACTTTTCTATTCACTTAAGTAAAAAATATTAATCCAAAAACCAAACGATGGCATTTAATCACAGTAGTCATAAAAATTCCTCACAAGGAATACTGATTGATTCGCTGAATCGAAAAGAAGACTAAGATGAAGTACTGAAATCTGAATTCATAGATTACAAGTATATGTACAAGCTTGTCAGTGTACGTTCGGAACATCTGAATATTGTTTCACCTAGTTCAGAAATGACCTGCTGGTTACAATCGTTGGTTAGCAAATAGTGTTGCTCGAAGCTGAGCACTAAAACACATGCTTAGTTATTTAGCTTCACTATACATTCATGTATTTTTAAGGATATTCAGGGTACAGAAACCCGGAGGAATATCACCCTGACATTTTAGTTCAGATTATTTTTTATTCACAAATATTTTTCTTACCGAATATGAAAGCGAATAACTGGTGTAGGTAACCAGGACATGAGTATTAGTCACTGTTTACTCTATTCTTCCTGGGCCAGGTGGAAAAATAACTATTAATAGAGTTACAGAGATGCCTTGATTATGCTATATACTTAAAAGGAAAATTATTTTAAACGATAAATTGGTCGAAAAGCTTAAGGATTTATTTCAAGAACTCACATTAACAAACGGAACGCCCATTAAATTAAGAAGCTGTCTGCAATCTTCGTTATGAGCTGGAGTAACTTTAACTAAACGTTTGGAGAATTTCTCAATAGCTTCTAAATCTTCTTCAGCTTCTGCTTTGGCTAATTCTTTAGTTGACTCAATACGTCTCTCAGAGCGTTTGGCTAACTCTCCAGCTTTCATAGAGGGTGGTTTTCCTTCAAAAACATATACAGGTTTGATTCCATTTTCTATCATTCTTATTGTTCTATAAAACATACCCATCAAATGGCTAAAATATCAGGAAGCAAAAAAGAGAGCACAGTGTCAAATACAGTGCTGAGGCAGTCGCAGTTGGCAACCAATGAACGGAAAATCTAATGAATACAATCTTATAACTTTGAACAGCATGAGTGATCATTGATGTCGCCGCGTAGCGTCTATGATATTGTTTTCACTCTTGAAGTTCGATAATGCTATCTCTTAAAAAAAATTATCAGCTACCGCAAAGTTTTTTTAATTTACACTACATCAAAGTAACTCATCACCCAAATGCCCTTGTACAGTTGAGAGAGGCGAGTCAGAGATCGCTCTCTCTCGAAATGTTACCACATGGCCAACTGTATAGAGCTACTGTTAGGGAAGTCCTGCTCACTGACTTTCGCGGTGCGAGCGTTGCTTACGAAATCGAGAGGACGAAAAGCGAATGTCCGACGCTTAAACTGGGTTGATAGACACGGAGGATCCACCTAGGGGAGTTGGAAAACCGTGATTCCAAACCGATGTTGCGCATAGGCTCCAGGATCCTGAGGTAACAAATGGTGCATGAACCTATTGTTGGCCACCAGATACCATGGAACCGCATCTTTTAATGTCGGTCCACTACTTTGTGGATCAAACCTCTCGGTCAAAGGCTCGGGGAGTGGTCTTCTAAGAGAAGGAAGTCCTCAAGAAACTCCAACTCTTGAGGCGCTACAAACCACTAGGCCCAGATGACCTAACTCCGGCCGTTTTTAAAGATGGTGGTGACTTTCTGGTTACGGAACTGGCTGAGTTGTTTGCAAAGGTCTGGCAGTTAGAGACTGTTCCAACATCATGGAATGAGTCGATAATCGTCCCTATCTTTAAAAAGAGTCCACATCACCTATGCAAAAACTATCGAGGGATAAGTCCACTTCCGATTGCTTCTAAACTATTGGCTTCCGTCATATTTCGTAGATTGTTCAGAACCCGTGGAAGATTGACTCGCGAGGAGTAGGTTGGTTTTCGTTCTGGTCGAAGATGTATTGATCATATCTTCAACCTACGCCAAATGTTAGAACACCGTCATACTTATCACAAATCAACAATCGTAATGTTTCTTGACATCATGGCTGCCTTCGATTCGTTGGACACGACTGTTCTCTGGGACTGTCTGTTGAAGAGGCGTGTGCCTGAGAAGTTTATTAACATCTGGAAGGCTCTATATACAAATACATAAAGCAAAATAAGGGGATACAACAACCTTTCTTTATTGTTTTGTCCACGCAGTGGGGTTAGGCAGGGTTGCCCAATGTCACCATTCCTCTTCAACTTTGTCATCGATGATGTTTTGGAAACAGCTCTGATAGATGTACGTAATGCACCTATCTGGACTATTTTGATGTTTTCATGATGTTAGTTTGGTTGTAAAAGTCGGATTCGTGATGTGTTGGTGGGAGAAGTTTTGTTCCACGACTGTGAAACATGGCTTCTCTGAGTTGAGGATGTAAGACGATTCTGTGTTCGATCAGCGTTTTCTCCGAGAAATTGTTGAAATTCAGTGGCAACACTATGTTAATCATGCAGAGCTTCGGCAACATGTGTTCAGGCACAGAGACAATAATTTGATTAGCGTTACTATCTTGAGACATCGACTTCGGTAGCTCGTCCCAAGGAATTCCATGTCATGCATTATTTGCCAACGCTGGTCGAAAAAATCGGAGAGGTGGTCAGTGTATGACATGGTGTGGTGTTATGAAAGTTGTATAGGACTGGCTTCTGTTGGTCCCTCACGACTCCCTGATTGGGGTCCTAGAGATAGTGCGACACAGTAGCTTGAGACGTTATCAGACATGGCCAGTGGCGATCCTGTTGTAACTTTCCTTTATTTTCTTCTTAAAAGTCGACGTAACTGAAAGAACTCTTTCTGGTTATATTTTTGCTAACTGAACTGTTTCTCTAATTACTATCGTTATTATTTTACCCTCGTACACTAATTTATGTTCGTTGTTGTTCTTTTATTGTACACACTTTACATTCTCTACCTCTTCACAGCCTCATTGTTATCGTGGCACACATGTATTTGGTGCCTCCTTGTACCAATGTTTATGTGTTTAAATAAATAAATAAAAGTAACCCACACGATTTTTGATACTGAAAAAAAGAACCCAGGCAACCGAACAGACAAACGAAATATATATATGGTTACAGCTGTCAAGAAGAAATATATATAATCAGAAAAATTAGTCATGTAATCGCATTCTAAATGTCGAACAAACCAACACTTGAGGTGCACATATGAATCGCGAGAAACATTTCAAAGATATTCCGTCTTTAACGTTACAACGCTACAGAGGATTTTCTGACTCATCACTTGGATCATTTTTGTCATCTACAGATTTGAAACTTAGTGATGGAATATGATGGGTTCTTCTTTCTCGTGGAGTATTCACCACAGTTTTTATAACGTCCTGGTAACAACAAATTTCAATGAGATCAAAGCTAGTCTAACGCTCTATCGTATGTATAAGTAACTTTTATTTAAGTTCACTTTTGATTTCCTTGACTTCGAACTTATCTCTAATAGGTTTCTTAGTTGTGATTTTACTACATCTGTTGAGGTGTAGGCATAATCAGGAGGACACCATGCTTACCACCCTTTAATACTATTTATTGCTGGTGAACTATTTCCTTCGCCCTTAGCTTCCCGTCTCACTTGATAACATTTCTCATCTCTCATGCTTCTAATCTTGTTATGTTTTCCTTTCGATGTGATAACATGATAATGTAGCAGCTTAGATTGAAACACATTTATGTCAGGCACTACTCTGACTTATGATTGATATAATCGGTGTTTGGACATAGAAAAGTACATGCATTGCCTACTGATAAGTTCAAGAGTCTATGAAATTTTCACTTTTCTGCTGACGAGATTTAAAGAACGTTTTAAATCGGGGGTAAGATAGCTACGTTCCAAAAATAAGACGCTTCACGTTTACGGGATTATTTGTAAAACTCACCTAGTCGACTCTCCTTCTGCATTCATTAGAGTATTCCCTTCTTGTCTAACAGCAATAAGAAACTGGTAAATTGACATAGAAGCGTCAATTGCTACTTTTCTTCCTATAAAAAACTCGGTAACAAGAATGTCTGTAGTTATGCCAACCGAAATACGATTTGATTTCACAGCTTTTGACTGCTTTCTGTGCATTATCACCAATTACCTTGCTCAACTGATGAACTCCCATGTTTACGGCAGATGATCTATAGGCCCGACTTAATAATCGTGCACACAGAGTCCGTCGGATGGTGAAAAGTGGAACGGGATACAGGAGTAATGATGCAATGAGGTTAGTGTTGATGCTCCGTTAAGAATTAATGTATTGAGCTACACGTCTGAAAAAGACCATTTCACATTATAACTTAGTCTTAAGGTAGATCAGATACATTAAACTCAAAGTATAATGCAATCATAAAATGTTCCAAACCATAAAATAGCACAGAAAAGGATATATAAAAAAACACATATCTTAACTAGGAGCCACAATAGCTTAAAATATACAGGCTAGTATAAATGGGGCAACACAGGCACTCAATCGTTACAGATGAAATAGAAATAGATATATCTAGGTGGTGTCATATTTAAATCGGATTTATGTGGACGTCCCCAATATTGACTTATTATTACTAACAAAATACTACAAAAGAAACCACAAACAGTGCCACACAGTCATAACAGCTGTGCCAGACAGATCAGTCACTACGTTGAATAAACAAATACAAAAATTTGTAGAACGAGTCAAACTCGATGCTGTCACCTGTCAGGAAACTAAACAACTTTTGGACGAATAAATGAAATTAGGGATAGCGAGTTTTGGATTTCGGAGTGGAATTCATTCATTCGTATAATTAAATGGCACTTAGACATTATAGCTTATGCCAGTCCCTTATGAAAACCCTTTGACTCAAAACCTCTTATTCGAATCCTAGATCCTAATTCTAACCACTCATATTAATTTGAAACTCTCTTTTGATGTTAGTAATTAAATAACTCTAATGCCACTCAAAGGTCATCTATAAATCAGCCTCTCGAAATTTCTTACTATGTACAATGTGTGGTGAAAAGTTGCTAAGCCTGTCTACATCAAATCACTTATTTCAACGGATCGTTGGATAACAATAATTAGTTTAGCAGTAAGTTTCGCTATTTATTTTCTACCTGTTACCTGTGACATTTTGGCGATTATGAAATACGTGGTAGTGTGTATCTGACAGGATACTTCACGCTATTGCGCATGCAGTTGTGTGATGAAATGTAGATCGCCGAAACCCCATTTTGAAAGTCGGCAATTAGTGTGTAACGTCAGCTTACAGTAGGGCAATATGCTAACAACAATAACCTTACACTTTTGACAGAAATTTCAGTGAGCTACATAGCTAGACGACATCACCCAAGCTCTCAACTTTGGGGAAATTTTGACCCATTTTGGGGAAGCCGCTATAGTAAGCTTTGGGGAAATGGAATAAAAAACCCAAAATTTACCCAAAGTTGGGAGCTTGGGCAATAAAGACTTTTTTCAAGCGTTCTCACTATCGTCGATTCATTTAATTGTGCTCCTTAATATGATTCGAACGTTTGAACTTACTTTTAATGACAAAGTAGGCTATCGAGTTATTATTTTTAGGAGGATATCCTAAAGAAACTGTATTACTTACAGTGTGATGCGCAACTCGATCAGGAACAAATCAGCAGAGAAGATACAAATAAGTAGTCTCAGTGGCTAGGTCAAAAGTACGTTATGTGACTGGGAAGAAGCAATGCGACAAACCAAACAAATTCGAAACGACGCGCTAGGGATTACGCGCGAATTTTTTCAGTCATCAGTATTAAGCACAGGAGGCTTATCAACCTAAATCAATCCTTGCAGTTTTAATAAAGTGAAGGATCAATCTCATTTCGAATATATCAATAGAAAGTGCTGATATTACGAGTTCCGGAAGAGAATCTCAGTAATTCACTACTCTGTGCGAGAAGCGAAACTCCAGACATAGACGATTTGATCTCGCTTTTCAAACTTTCTTCGAATGTCCTCTCAAGTTATTAGTCCTAGACGGAGGGAAAAAATAAGAAATAATAATGCCAGGGTTATCGTTCAGTACACGATAAGCCAATATTAGATCACTCCGTATTCTACGGTAAAATAACGGAACTAAGTTGAACTGTCTGAGTCTGTCTTCATCATATAAGTCAGAATAACCTTTTACCATTCTAATCCTTTGTGTTGGACTCATTTCAGGATATCCGTCCCATACTTGAAACAAGAACTCGCTGCTTGAATCCCATATTTCAAATGCAGTCTCATGAGAGTCGGATATAATAATATAGATATTTCTTTGTCCAAATACTGAAAAGATCTATGAATGGCCTGTATTACTCTATAGCCTTTTGCAGCAGTAGCCTTACGCTTACTCGTAGTTTCGAGATCGCTGATTAGTATGACTCCTAAATCTTTATAGTCTGTTACTTTGGGTAACATGCATCCACGTATTGTTTTGCGATACAAATGATCATAGTTATTTATTGCATCATCACACTCTTGATAGGATTCATTTCTAATAACCACCTATCCATCTATGCCACCAACTGGTTTACATCACCCTGTAGAACTATTCTATCTGACATATTGTGCACGGGTCTCCAACTATTTACGACAAAGAGTAGAACGGATGGTTTTGCCACAGTTGATAATTCATTTACATAAAGTAAAAAGAGAAGAGAACAGAATATTATACCTTGAGAGAAATCCACTTTTTGCAGTTTTCCACACTTCTAGAGCTCCGTTTACCCTTGCCATCTGTCTCCTGTCATGAAGAAAGTCTTTTATCCAACCGATGACCTTATAATGGATTCCAAGACTTTCCAGTTTTATGTTAAGACCCGAATGGGAGACGTTAGTAAATGCTTTACTTAGATCTACGAAAATGACATCTACAGGAATATTTCTATCACATATTTTTAGATTTAGGTGTATTGTATATCCTTACTGTGTCGTCGGCCCGCTTTCCTAGCCTTTTCTCTTCGAGATTCGTTCACATACTGCACCTCGCACTTCCGCGGCACACAAGGTATCTTGTGACTATACTGTTGAAATATTAATGAAAATATCTCAAATATTATTCCGTTAAGTCTAATGCTATCCTTGAACGTGAAATGGTGTCATTTTTTATTGGTCAATATCCACGGCCGTCCTAACTGTATAAACATACATTTGTCTGTAAAGTACTGTTATTCTTCTCCTGACCCTATAAACAATTTTCATCTAACGGTTCGTGTTCTGATATATTTGAGATTGGGGAACAGTATTGGGGTCATACTGGGATATCTAAAGTTGGTCAATCAGTAGAATTTAGAATATTAATATTCTAGCTAAGAAGGACATGGTAAATCACGCTTGATTCCTATTGGTTGTTATGTCAGGTAGAGAACCGTAAACAGAAGTTGAGCTTATTTCTAATCAAGTTCACCGACACGCATACATTTGAGTTTTCTGACCTAATGTAGATATGGTGTAATGTGAACAGTAATCTTTTCGTTGCATGTATTGTATTTAGTTTTATAGGATAATTTTCAATGTTCCCAGTCCAAGCTTTAAATTTCACAATATTCGCTTTTATTTATGAAGCATTATTAGCTGCTCTACAATAAACAAGTCATAAGGTAGTCTGTTGAATATATTTAATTGGAGACTAGGAATGATGTGTAAAGTGTCTTAACAACACGTCGTTTCCAAAGGTTTTGAATCCGTAATTAGCATGTCATACGAAATGATTGATCAATAGGGCATTTCGTGGTTCCAAAGCTAAATGCTTTGCGTGGCTATGTCTCAGTTAATTGCATTAGCTAATAGAAATATCAATTCCTTACCGTGAAACGTTAGGTCAGCAACGATCTCTACACAGTTTTTGCTGACGGAAATTGGGTGAATGTTCATGGTGCTGAGGGTCAACGCTGAATCATGTTATTCAAATCACTCCTGAATCTTTACTAATTGTACGTTTTTGATTTGTTTGTTTGTAGCGGAAACGTTTGAGAATATTTCTCTGTTAATGACTAATCGCTAAAATGTTTATTTGTGGGGACCTCAATATTCCTGAATTTATTTGGTTTTCAGTCAAAGTATCAAAACGTTTTAAGAAATTTACGAATGTTTGGGGCTTGAAGAGCGGACTCCTATCGCCCTAGCTCAGAAGAACATTGAGACTGTCCACCTATTTGCTGACTGCTCTGTTAGATTAAACAATGCTTTGTAAAACTACTCATATCCATCACCTTAACCTGGGGATTCATTCATGAAACTAAATGGTTGTCGTTATGTCGCAAAACTTGATTTGTTTGATTCTCGTTTGTTAGTAGGAGTAGGCTCTGATCTTAGTCATTTTCAGACTTATCATGGTCTCTACCAGTAAAACAGGCTGTCATTCGGATTAAAACCAGCTTCTGAAATTTTTTCAACAGCTGGTGAACATTAGGATATCGAATCTCAATGTCCTTGCCGTCGACTTACTTATGTCTGTTACTCCTAATGGAACATGGGCCGCCTACCAGCATTCTCCAACCCACTCTTTCATGGGCCTTCTTTTCTAGTTCTATCCAATTTTCGTTCATTTTTCTCACGTCTATCTCCATTTCCCGGCGTAATGTGTTCTTTGTTCTTCCTCTCCTCCTTTGGCCTTGAGGATTCCATGTGAGGACTTTTAGTGGCCCGTGGATCTGACTCCAAGATCGTACGAATGATTGTTATTGCCTATTCTCGTATATCATCGTCGACTTAAATCGCGTTATCCAATAACGGAATTAAATAAGTCGAATAACGAGAACTGACTTGAGAATACATATATTTCGTACATGAAGCGAATGAAACAGAGCAAAGCAAAATGACACGCATGGAAGGTGGCTGGGAAGCCAACTCCATTTTAGTCAAGCGTTACTCAATATTTATAGTCAGACAAAATAAAGCTACAGACATGTGATTAATGGAATAAGAAGGGCACACATAAATACGCTCATATAAAAACAATCAAGACTGACTAGCGAATAATTGACAAGGTCAACATATGACTCAAGTAGAATGAATAGATTGGTTTGTCCAAAAACTGGAATAAGATATATTATGGGCTTAAAATAATGACTGACACTACAGACTTGCCTCG